TAAAAAATGTTTGAATTTGTTAAATATTTAATAATAATTATTAAACTAATAAATTGAATCATTTTTGTTTTCAAATCACATAAAACAAAAACTAATGTTAAATTATTATTATTTTTTCTTTTTTATAGAATATTTAAAGAAAATTCTTAATATTCAATATCTTTATTTCAAAATGAGAATATTTAAGAAATTTTATATTTAAATAAACATAAACCAAAATATAATTAAAGTATAAAATGATAACTCATTCGAATTAGTCTTACATAATCATATTGGTGGTATTATTTTAAACTATTGAATTTAATCATAATAAATATAATTGTCACTTATTAAAGAAAATATTTTCAAATAGTTCATTAAACTTTTTCTTTAATTGAGAAATTAATAAAAAAAAAAAAAAAAAATTGTTCTATATAAAGAAAAATATATTTATTCGGCAAGAAAAACATGTGATTTAGGAGGAAACTATTTTATTTTCATTCAATGGAAATTTTTCTATCACTTGATCTTCGTTTAATGTTGATTCATCATTAGTTGGTACAACAGTTACATGATGTATTGTTTCACCTTTTGCTTGAAGCATTTGAGCAATATTTCTGTAAAATATAATATAAATAAATTATTATTTTATATAGATAAAATAGAAAATTTTACTTGAATTTTCCATTTTCTGTTAAATCTTTAAACCAACCTAAATTATCGGCAATTAAATGAAGATTTGAACATGAATCACATCGAATTATAACAACTCCTTGTTCATATGATTGACGAGTAAAAGTTTTTCGTAATCTATGATCACATACTTTACACGTAAATTGTATTCCCATTCTTTTTGATTCTTCTCCTTTATTTATATTAGATAAAGGAATTTTAGATTGATTATTATTATTATCATTCGATTGTGATGAGATATTTCGAACAAAATTACAATGATGATTAGTAATGACTTTCGAACAACTAATTTTTACTCGACCAGTCGTAAAAATACGTGTTAACATAAGACGAAACATTTATCTAAAACAAATTTAATAGAAATTAGTAGTACGTGAAAATGACGAATATACATACATGCAATACAATTATATCACTGGATTAGTTTCATCTATCAGAACGAATCAGATCAATCCAATCATGGATGTCGCTATTGTTCGCTTAGTTTTTTTTGGAAATTTACCATCATAAAAGTATTCATAAAAGTCTACATGATCCACTCTTTCTCACTGATGTTCTCATGGAAATAGACAAATATTATTTATCGACATAGGTACAAAAATTTATTATCTGGTTCTATTTTTCGTTCAATGCAATAAAAGATATAAATATGATCTAGAGAGTTTTCTCGTGAGTCGTTAAGGAAAAACGAAAATTACTTAAGATTACGAAGAAGAGGATCATTTTCTCGAAGAATTACATCATTTGAAATACTCTTAGCTATCATATATGCAAATAAAAGCCCTTTTATAGAAAAATCTTGGGATGACCTTGTAGAAATTAGCTAATCGTACATGTTTATGGAATTCTTTTAGTTGATATGTGAATATAAATGTGAGTGATAAAATGACTAACGCTTCAAATCCACAATCGACACAGTCACTAACATTGTATTGGCAACTCGATCTGTTCGTATCGAATTATGATATTTCATTTTGAACTAGAAGTCTTACATCTTTCCATTAAAAATTGACTTGTAACCACATAATGAAATGCTCTAAAGGTTAAAAGGCCTATGTTTCTATCTAATCACTTGACTTCAAAGGTCAAGAGTTATAAGAAGTCAATCAACTATTACCGTTCATGTGTTATGTCTAGTTGTCTTAATATGCTCTTGATTTTATTAAATTTTCTAAAGAATCTCAATTATTTTATTTTATCAATATATATTTCAATCAACGGGGAAACATCGTACTTTCATACTTTAATTTACTTTAACGTACTTTATGTACTGTAAAGTACTTCATTGTATTTAGATGTAGGAAGTTTCAGTTCTCTGAAACTTAAGCTACCTAATAACTGATTACGGAGTAACGGATATTGGGAGACCTCGACCGTTCGAGTAAGAGAAGGGTATTTCAGGGAAATAATAATTTTCCATAAAGATTGACGAAAAGCATTGGAGTGGAGAGTTGTGAGTTTACAAGTTATGGATGTCAAATTTGTTAGAAATACATGATTGTGTCGAATCGGATCACTTGCCTTTGCTAGAAGTTAAGGTGACAAGGAAGAAAAATTTAAGAAGACGTTACATTAACTTATGGGTTTCTCAAAAACGTTTTAATGAATCCTGCGGATTTCTGACGTTTCGTTATGGAAAACCATATTTTAAGTACAACAACAAGATTGTGTTATTAAAAGTATCTTTCACTGTCTGAAAGCTGGTTCTTTTTCACTTGGCTAAGTACAGTGTGCGTTGAATCCTGGAAATTGTTTTCATGAATGCTGGACCTTCTTGTCGAAAGCTAGGAAGATCAATTGTGGAATGGAGAGCGACCTATTCAGAGCTCGTTTAAATTCGCCTAATAAATTGCCATTGCCTTCGATTCTGAATAGATGCATTGGGAACAAGGATGCAGTACGCAACGAACCCGTTGGAATGACTTGAATTTTTATTGAGAAAAGCAGTATTATAAAGATCTTGCACGGAAAATGTCTATTTATGGATTTCCCGTAGATGTGATATTATGTCGAATAGTAAAAGACAAGTAGTTGATGGCTATTTTCAGTGGTGAGTGGAAGTTCTTTTAAGAAGATTGAATCCGCAAAGTTGATATGCTACATAGTGTTATTGAACTCAGTGATATATGAAACTGAAGAAGCAGAGAAAGATATATGCATGAATACAATTGGGTCAAAGAATATGTTTCATAACAAGTAGACCTTTTTTAATATGGACGCTGTGAACACTTGATTTTTCATATAATTTTAGGATATCTATCAATTTCAGTATGATAATTTTGTTCCAACATTTCTATCTTTGTTAATGCTTATCAGTTAACCATATATTTCCAAAAAATTACATTCTCTCAAAAATCGCATTGTATCCCACTTTGCTTCTTCCTTGAGAGCTATTGATAAAGGGTAAAAAGATCTGTTACGCTTATTGAAAGGGATTTCTAAGAACAGTACAGGACGACAAGCGATTACACGAGGCCGACAGCTACTATTGACAGTCATTAGCCACGATTGAAAATCACAAGAACTAACAAAGATTATCTGGGACTGTCAGTAATTCCCAGTTAACAACCGGGAATTACTACGGATTACGAAGAACTACCGGAGTTTCCACGCAAGTAATAGAAGCTATCAGTAATCCCAAGGCACCATCAATATCAACTATTTTTAATGGCACGAATATCCACCGATCCTGACATCCACCTCAGACAGTAGCAGGTTCTAAGACACTCTACCAAATTTGTTCATACAAATGATAAAAATCGAAGTACTTTATGACTCCTTTGTCTGAGTTCCTTTAAAAGCGAATCCAATGTTGTGGTCAGTAAGCCATGTCTCGCAAATAGCATTAGAAACCCTCAATATAAAAGGAACACAAGGAATCTCAGAACCGCACTGTATTCGTAGCCTAAACTGAATCTTTGAACTTTCAACCTTGCATTATGAGGTTCTTATTGACCTCGATGAACCCCGCATACCCATAGAATTTTAGTATAGCGTGGAGCTTCACAATCGCATAAAGCTTTCCAAACCAAAGAAACACCCATCATTGGATGAAATAATGAAAGCTGCGAATCTGCGCTACGTGTAACTGCACTCTTTATAAATTTGAGCGGTCAATTTGTGAATCTCCTAACTAAAATTACAAGAGCCTCAATTCGTGCACAGACCAACACCAATATACTCTCGGTCAAAAGATTAACTTCAGCCATAGCACCTTTTAATGGCTTCAGCTGCATTGCTTCGCTGGCTTCCAACATACAAACAAATAGTTGCAGTTCCACAAGTCAGTTTTATACAAAAAGATTTCTTGAATTCGAATATACTATCGGTGTCAACGACGCGGATCGCTAATGAACCTTTGACTGTGAAAGTATCATTAAAGTATCTCACACTCGAAACGCCATTTTGAACAGCCAGCGGGAGTAACAACCTACAGACTCACGCCACTACTAGGAAATACATTAAAATTAAGTCCAGCAGCAAGACTGATTTTTTACAACAGATAATACGACACCTCATCACAGATGCTCATCTTCCCAGAATACCCCTTTCTTCATCTAAAAATCTAGTTCCCAATTTCAAGAAACCGATTGTAGATTGCGATTCTTCGTCGGCGACTTACTTTCATCAACCTTTATAGAAAACCGTTATTCTCTCGAAAAACCCCTTCCTTAACCTAAAAATCGACTTCGAAATTTTGAGAAACCAATTGCAGATTCAGATTCTCCGACCCCGATTTACTTTCGTCAACCTTTATAAAACACCGATATTTTCTCGAAATATCCCTTCTTTAGTCCAAAATTTTCACTTCGAAATTTTGAGAAATTAATTCCAGATCCGAATTCCCCGACCCCGATTTACTTTCGTCAACCTTTATAAGAAATCGTTATTTTCTCGAAATACCCTTTCTTAGCCGAAAGGTCGAGGTCTCGCAATTGTCGTTACTTCGTTACCAGTGACCTGGTAACATAATGGTAAACGCCCACCACTAATTGTACTTTAATGTACTTCACCGTACTTTATTGTACTTTGCGGTACTTCGTTGTACTTCAAGTACTTTATGTACTTTAAAGTACAAAAGTACGATGTTTCCCCTTTGATTTCAAAACATCAATATATTTTTTAGTGTACTATTAGGTAATTGGTCGTATCGCATGTATATCATCGGCTCTATGAATTATGGGTTCTGGAGGTCTTCGTTCTATCGAACTAAGTTTGTATGTACATGAATATGGACGTGGGCGGTGAATTTTTTCGGCAACTTGGCTACGTTCCGAAGTCATTTCCATGAGAAATAGAAGTTGACGATGATTGGGCGGAATGGAATCGAGTATAATAAAAGAATTTCGAGAATTTCGAACATCCAACGATTCTGTTACTGTTACATCAACATTGAGCATACGATTAGTAGATGTATTTTCGGCAACCAATGCCCATAGTTCACCCATATGTTTTGAAGAGTAAAAGCAATAATTGGTATGCTATGAGAAGAAAATAAAGAAGTTTATCTTAATTAAATACTTAAGAAAATATTTGAAAAACTCGTCGAATTTTCGTAATGACCTTAATCTATCCTGTTGCACGTAGTAGAGTGTGAATTTGAAGATCATTAGAAATTTTTCTTGAGTAAGCCGAAGTCCTTATTAATCAATATAGAACATCTATAAACTAGTCAATTTATGGAAAACTTCATCGATCAGCTTATGTATCAAATTGATTTCTTTTACCAAGTAATGTACTAAGAATGATCATCGGGCAAAGAGGCATGTAATTATTATTTTTATTTGACTAGTTCTTCAAGTGAGAAACCCTATTTGAAACTCTCTGTATTTTAAGTCTTTCGTAAACATCAATGAATAAGTATTTATGATATCGAGTACTCTCCTTGTCAATATGCGCACCAATTCGTTTCGGTTATTCATAAGATTTACTCAGTAGGTTAAATTGATTCCATATATGTCATCTGAACGATTGTCTTTGGAAATTTCCTAGTGATAAATGAAGAATTATAAGGCTCATTTATACCTTTCTGGATGTCGAACAATTTTTCATAATTGCAGCGATTAGAGAATCAGCTAGAAGTTTGCCCGATTCTTCGACAATAACCAAATCTAATTGAGTGAACGAATGAATAACCAACGTGAATTTCATCTCATCAGTCATGTTTTTCTCTTGATGCCAATATGATGTAGAGAATGGAATGATTATATAAGTGCCTTCAGACAAAGTATCTGTCCAATGAGTGTATTTTTTGCGGCGACTACACAATATGGCATATTGATCGCCGACACGACTGCTTTTGGAAATATTGCAAAGTAAAAACGATTGAGTATGATCAACGTAAAAATGTTTTCGATCTGAACGTTGGTGAAATAGACCCACTGTTATTGTTGAAGATCTGTATAATGTTTTAATGATAATATATTTGTAGTTATAGTTTTTTGAGATAATTGTCTATCAGAAAGTTCTCACCTGTCTAAATGGAAGTAGTATGCTTGTATCGAGTGTGCTGCATGTGGAGTGAATTGACCCTCGAGTCTGACATCAAATAAATTATCCTGATAAGAACAAATGGTCAACTCAGCAAAGAATCGTTGAAATGCCACCCATGATATCCAAAATGAACCATTCGATCGATCGGTTCTATTTATATTTTGAAGATGTTGAAATACTTGAGTCGTTATGCTATCGTCCGTGTAATTTGATCGAGCATGCGGATCTCTCAATAGAATAAATTGTTCATTTGATGAAATGGCATGAGCCATCTGAACAGAGTAGACATGACAGGATCCTAGATGAACTCTGTCGTACTCAGCTTTGGAAACATCCGTGCGACTTGTTGAGGCACCCATTAAGAGACTAAATCAATTAAAAGTGTGAGATATACTTTAGAAATTCTGTTGGGAAATATTCAGTGTGAATAAGAAAACAATTTTACACTAATTAAAGATGAATATCTGGTTTTGTATACTGAAATACGTATTTGTATGAATCACAGCATCTGTCAGAATCCTAAAAAAAATCCATTCAAACAAGAACGTTCTCCAATGTCGTTTATTAAGACACTACAATACATGTATTCAATAAAGCTAGTTCCATTGTTCACTTCATCTAGAAATTTCTCAACTCGACATGTTCTAATTCTATCAAAAAAAACATTCTTGTGAACGATTTAAATCATTAATCACACAGTTATATTCAAATAATCAAGGCGAGAGAAATATAAAGGAAAAATTCGTTGTACTCACTTAGCTTCGCATGCTGAGACGAGTTTTGCCCACAGAATATCTCGATTATGGTTATCTTCAATATTTGGTTTGTCAAACGGAATTCGATCAGAAGGAGCACCAGTAAGTAGTTGTAATCCTTCTCTCATTGAACCTCCATCCAACTTGCTATATGATCCGTGTACTTTAGCACATGCTTTCTCAATCAATGGAACAAATAATTGTTGTCGTCTAGCCTGTGAAAAAATGAATATGTTCATCGCACTATTGTTATGTTACATAATCTGACCTTCGTGAAGGCAAGATGTTGTTTCGCAGTACACGGAAAATAATCATCAAGTAAGACTATTTTCCATAATCCATTATGACAAATACGCACTAAATAAATACCTTGTTGATTAATAGTGGACGTTAGAAATATATGAGAGAGCATCTGTGGTCGCTCTGTGACTATTGCCAATGCAGCCATTAACCAACAATCCCCTAGATGACCTTGCTCGATGTCGTTTGGTTGGGGATCGAGCATGACTGTCCATAACACTTGTTTCTCCTTTTTTGAATAAGAAATATCACCAATACGAAGCCAATGTGAGACAGACCTATCTTCATTGCCTACTGATCTAGATGATGGTAAGAATTGGTCATCGACAAAATTTATACTATTCTATACATCAATTAGCGATCATCAGTTCTTAATCGATCAAGTTTGTCAACCATGTACTTACCTTCTGGCAATATTGAAGAATATGAGTGAACTGACGTTTTGCTTCGACTTCGTCATTGTATTGTTGTTCATATGCTGTGAGTGAAAGAACCGTAATAGAGTTTGATCTTCGTAATTGTGTTTTTATTCTAATTGTAACTGTTGTTTCATGGTTTTTCTGAAGAAAGAGTAGAGATATCTATGTGACTCTTTGTCTGATTCGAAGAACTGTTCGATCAAATTATCAACAAGAAAAACAGATTTTAATGTGAAAAAAAAAACAAAATTCAGGAAATCGACCACAAGAAATTTCTACGATTCATTATCTGATATTCTAATCTAAGTCAAGACTGTTTCTCTCATAGTCAATTCAAATTAGCATCGTACATTTGCATTTCTATCGATAATTTTACATTTTATTCTTCACTCAAAGTTCAAGCAGAATAACTTCAAATGATATTCGTTTCTCATAAAAATTTATTCTTTTCAGCTGAATATCGGTACTTGACGATCAATATTTACCTTGTTCGAAGACGAAATAGTCGGTGCACTACCACAAAATTTGCATTGTTTCTCGTCGAATTTATTGAAAGAAGCACAAAAATGGCACTGCCAATCGATTGGATCCGGTGCTGCAATTACTGAATTATTGTCTGTTTCACATAGTTCACAAGTCGGAAAGGCCGATTGTGGATTTAGAAATGTGCAAGATACACACGACCATGATTCATCGGTGGACGACGTCAGGATAGCGGCAGCCATGTTGTTTTCTTTTTTACTTACGTGTGAGACACTTATGCAAGAAACTACCTGATATTTACTTTCTTGTTCTGTTTTTTCTTTCACACACTAATATGAATCATCGTGATAGATGAAGAACATTTGTGTGATATAAAGAATATTCCAATAGACAGAAAAAAACATGAAATATTCTAGCGAGCACAGCGTCGATTGACAAAAAATACACTTGTGAATTGGAAGCAGAGTGTGGATCTGAAAGAATACAAGACTCACATTCACACACAACCCGTTCGCGCATGCATACACCACACTCATCTATATGTTAGGCATGTAATGTAATAAAGAAAAATTTTCCTATCGATTTATTTTGGAAGACAAATTAGTAATTTTCCCTAGCCTTGTGCTTGAAATGTAATAATATGCTTGTCTTGTTAGTTAAAACTACCTAACGAATTATATATGAAAGAAGAAAATCAGTCGTAGCAAATCTTTATTTTACACACCCACAGTCTCGTAACTAGATAAGAACCGTTTTAGTTAATATGAGCATCTTTGCATTCTATTTCTTTTATCCTATTCTATAAATAAAGAAAGTGAATCCATCAGCTTTCCAGGTTGTTCCATACAAACTAGATGCATACCCATTCGTTAATTGAGCAACATGCACTCTCCATGTCCCAGAAAATTTGTTGTTGATTTTCGTGCATGCAGATTGTTGAACTGCTTTTATATCTTTAATAGTTGACCATCCAAATTCTGTATTCATGAAACATTTGATTTCATTCTCGTCATAATCAGTACTTGTTGTTTGTTCTGCATAGACCCAGCGCTTGGAACGCCAATGGATATATGAACTACAGGATCCTGCTTCATTTTCAAATCTTGGATAGGTAATCACATTCCATTTTCCCCCACAAAGATCTCTTAATGCTTTCTCAATCAACTCAGCCATGCTTTCTGTTATATTCTCTTCATCAATTTTATCAAGTACACCACGTATAACTAGCTTTGTGTTGTCGTTCATACCAAAAATATTAAAAAAAGACCAAATAGATGAATTCAACATTATCTTAAGGACCAGTTGCTTGTTTGAGAATAAATATATGATAAAGACAATTTCTTGAATTAATATCTAAAACGATTTAATTCAAAAAATACAAAAATCATGACCACAATCTTTCTTTTACCCAAATTACAGGGACAAGAAGCAACAAACGTATTCGATTGATAAATACAGTGTTATTCGTAAATAACTACATGATAAAAAAATTCAGTACCTCTACTTCATTTCAATCAATTCAAAGAAATTTTTTCTCGTTCATAAAGGACATCTGATATTATTTTGTCTAAAGGAAATCGGTAACAATAACTGTTTTGAATCAGTACTATCGATTTCAAAAAACAAACACAAGCTTTTCCGATTTCTAAATGGTATAATTGAAATCGGCACTGCACACGACTTTAAAGCTTCCGAGTCCAGATTTTTCCCAATAGTAGGAGAAGACTACAATATGTCAGCAGCCAAAATGTTCGTATTCCTGGTAGATTTTGACAGAAATATTAATTTTTTAGCGAATTCTTTCTTTTAGAACTGCAATTTTTTCAATAAAATCGTATTTTGCAATTAAGATCTGATATGTTACACAAACTACGGTCTATATTAGACTAGTTGATGCATGGAATTTCGAAAAATCTTGGGATGTAGTCTCTTACAGATATGGATAAGGACCGAAATTTGCTCTTATGTGACAGTTGAGGGAATGCTAAGATCAGGCAG